GCTCATGTGTGGTAGGCTACTTCCATGTTGGGCTCAAAGAGCTAGTTGCGTAGAGTAGGGTAGATGAATGGGTGCTTATTGTTTTATCTGCAGATCTACATTGGTTTTCATTTGCTCTTGCTGTAGTGCAGTAACTCAGCTGTCAATACTGAGCTTGTGATGCACTTTTACCGTTCACTGATCTTAGAGTAAAGATCAAGCAGGGAGATTAGTTAACCTTAAGTTTCTCCTTGTTGGCCTGGCTGTTTCGTTTTGATACCTTGAATTCTCTGTTGAAGTTTGAGGTGATACATTGTATTATGATAGCTTTGTCTTTGGAAACCCCCCTCTCTGAGGGTGTTTTTGGCCTTGTGAGGTAGGAAGCAATTGCTATGCTTGTGCAGGGCTGTGGCACCTGATCGGTCCCTCTGGAATCCGTAGAAGGAAGTTGTCTTTGCACACAGGCAGACTGCAGTCTCAGCTGTGCGTGAGGCAGGCATTGCTGTGCTGGCTGGAGCTCTGGAAAAGGTTCTGCATGACTTAAAAGAATAACCTGTGCTTCGACAAGGTACAAGCCAAATATCTGTCATCTCGCAATGCGAGATGATCATCTGCATAAGCCAGGCAGTCCAGCGCTTCCTATTTCCCCTGCCTGACTGTGGCACAGCGGAAAGGGACCAGGTGACTACATGAACAAATGCAGTCCTGGATGCTCGGTGCTCCTTGCTGCCATGCATGCTCATGCTGGCTGCTTAGAATGTACTCTTCCCCTATTCCCAGTCCTCAAGAATCACAGAACCACAGAATCGTTTAGGTTGGAAGGGACCTCTGGAGATCATCTAGTCCAACCTCCCTGCTTAAGCAGGGTCCTCTAGAGCATATTTCCCAGGATCACATCCAGACGGGTTTTGAATATCTCCAGGGAAGGAAAAGGTATCTCAGTGCACATCTTGCCCACATTCATTTTCTGTTTAACTCTGCTTCTTCCATCCCTTTCCAGTGAACAGCCTGCCTGTGCAGAAAGGTTTGTTCCGAGTCATTGTAGTGCCTGCTGACCTTTGGCACCAAGGACGAGCCAGGTAATGGGCCAGCAAAGCCTTGGTGGTTGTCTCTGCTTGCGGCCATCTCAGGCTATGTTTGCCAAGGGTCTCTGAAAAATTTTCTTGGGTACTGTGAAGTTCTTTGCACATGTTCTGATATGGGAACACTTGTTATTCTGTGAATGTGGAGAGAGGTGAAGAAGGCCTGCATTTGCCATGGAGCTCCTAGAAGCGCCTGGTGTGTCAGGGGAGTTGGAAGCCTTCCTCCTTGTCCAGAGGAGCAACACCAGCCTGATACAGAACATGTCTGGAGAATGCGCCATGTCCCTTCCTATCCTCCAGGTCTCCCCCAGGGGTCAGTCCTGGGTCCAGTCTTGTTCAATGTATTCATCGATGACCTGGAGGAAGGGACAGAGTGCACTCTCAGCAAGTTTGCTGAGGATACTAAACTGGGGGGAGTGGCTGACACACCAGAAGGCTGTGCTGCCATTCAGAGGGACCTGGACAGGCTGGAGAGCTGGGCCGAGAGGAACCTCCTGAAGTTCAACAAAGGCAAGTGCAGGCTCCTGCACCTAGGGAGGAATAACCCCATGCAGCAGTACAGGCTGGGGGTTGACCTGCTGGAAAGTAGCTCTACCGAGAAGGACCTGGGAGTGCTGGTGGACAACAAGGTTGAGCATGAGGCAGCAATGTGCCCTTGTGGCCAAGAAGGCCAAGGGTCTCCTGGGCTGCGTTAGGCGGAGCGTTGCCAGCAGGTGGAGGGAGGTGATCCTGCCCCTCTCCTCAGCCCTGGGGAGGCCACATCTGGAGTACTGTGTGCAATTCTGGGCTCCCCAGTCCAAGAGAGACATGGCACTGCTGGAGAGAGTCCGGCGGAGGGCTACAAAGCGGATGAGGGGACTGGAGCATGTCTCCTCTGAGGAAAGGCTGCGAGAGCTGGGCCTGTTCAGCCTGGGGAAGAGAAGACTGAGAGGCGACCTCATCCATGTGTACCAGTGTCTGAGGCGGGGGGGGGGGGCCAGCCTCTTCTCCGTGGTGCCCAGCAACAGGACAAGAGGCAACGGGCAGAAACTGAACCACAGGAAGTTCTGTTTGAACCTTCTTGACTGTGGGGGTGACAGAACCTCTCCGGGAAGAGGTTGCCCGGAGAGGCGGTGGAGTCTCCTTTGCTGGAGATATTCAAAACCGCCTGGATGTGATCCTGGGAAATATGCTCTAGAGGACCCTGCTTGAGCAGGGGGGTTGGACTGAATGATCTCCAGAGGTCCCTTCCAACCTAAACCATTCTGTGATTCTGGTTGCTCCTGCTGTCAGCTAACAGGCTTCAGGGCGGCTAGGACTGAGGAGGAAAGCATCTTCTTACTGCTCCTGGATCCTACCATCTGTGAGATCCCACTGCAGCATTTTCCAATGTGACATGAGAGGAATGGCACCGCACCTGTGACACCGCACAGGCTATAAAGGCAGAGGAGGCTTAGTGCTTTCCAGCTGGTAGTACATGAGACTTCATAATCAGCAGTCACTATGCTCCACCACGCCACAATTCCATGTTTTTGTAACCCTCCCAGTGCAGCTAATCACCGTAATGTGTGATCACATCTTGCTTTTTAGTATCTTTGCAAGTAATGCTGTAGTGTAGTATATCTACTGAAAACAGAATCCACCCTGCATTGCCATCTTTGTTTGTGCAAGCACAGGATGTCTCTGAACACAGGCAGGTGTATGAAAGCAGGCAGGTGCCAGGTGTTTCCAAGGAGCTGATACTATATCAACCAGACTTGGAGAATGTACTCTTGAGTGTCTCGAGTAGTGTTGCTGGTATGTAATGTTTCCTTCCCTGTGTAGTGACCTTCAGTGCTGTCAGCTCACAGATCAAACTGTGAGGCTGGAGTTTTAAGCATAGGTCTAGTCAGTTGCAAAGAGTAAAAACTGGGAGCTGTCTGCTCATGGAATGAGGCTGGTGGTGCCAGGATAAAACAGGGCTAACAGATAGTCTGATATTGCTAGCGTCCAGTTAGCCATCTCACTGCAGGAAGATGGGTTTTTGCTGTGCTCAGTCTCTGATGCGGCAGGCAGAGGTGTGGCTCAGCTCCATAGCTTGTTTCCCACAGTTTAGCAGTTTGCATTTCTTGGTCCCAACTGCAGTGTGATGTGTTGGAGAAGTGAATCCAGCTACCTGACAGAAAGACCTTTAGGATTACGTAGATATACAAAAGATAATTGTTTGGCATACTGCATAGGAGCAGGAAAAATTTCTGAGCTTTCAGTGGGGCTGTTACATCCTTTTATCTCAGGTGTCCTGGGGTCAAAATTATGCTGATGAAAGTGGTCCTAAATTAGATAGCTGTGGCAGTTGGATTTGCTTGTGCTAGGGCTGGCCACTTGGTGTGGCAATAATGCTTTATCAGGAAACTTTTCTGCAAATAGAGAACAAAACAATTTGGAGAGATAGTTAAGTTGGAAGTGGGAAGAGGACTGGGAGATTCTTTACGGAGCAGAATGACTAAGGTGCATCACCCCACAGCACTGATCTTTCTCCTATATGCTGCTCTGTAATTCTGATTCCCTGTGCTTTTCTCATTTTTCCCTTACCTTTTAAATAAGGGGATCTTTTGTGAAGGCATTGCTAATGTTGCAAACCAACAGTTCTGAAGCCTGAACGTTCCAGGAGTCAGAGGAACAACTTAAAATCTTAATTCCAAAATAACGGACTGCAAGTATTTTCTAGGGCCATTTTTTGTGGTTCTATGATCCTGCGTTCAAGTTTTCCACTCCCCTGTTGCTGTGTAAAAGACTGCTACAAAGGAGAAGGGATGAAGCTGCCAGATGTGATTTGCAGGCTACACAAAGTAGCAATCTTTAGGAGCTACTTGACATGCTAGGGCAAAAGACTCTAGGAAAGAAGTGTGCTTGAAGTGGATATTGTCTTTTTTCACTTCTCTTCATGCAATGTAATTGTCTCACATGGCTGCTGATATGCTCTAGCTAATCAGCACTAATGTGCATGTGGTATTGCTACATGTTTTGTGCCCATGTGATGGCCTGCATATTAGGCTCACTGTATTGACTGTGCGTCAGTGCTTTAGCAATTACGATGTGTTGGTGTTTATAGATTGGATTTCCAAACAGCAGCCTCCTTTTCTGTGTATCCAGATGCTTACAGGTGTCATATAGGTCATCTGGATGACTAGGATTGATGACACTGGAAACCAAGACACCACTGGCTAATAACGATCCTCGGAGAGGGAGCACGAGAGAGCTATTTTTCCATTGTTTCAAAGATGCGGTAGCTGTTGCAACATGAGGCAGGAAACAGGGTTAGCCACTCCCAGATTTCTTACAGTCGTGTATGGTCTGTGATGCCATCTTTCTGCTTCGGAGTGGGAGGTTTTCTAGTAGTTGTCTATAGTTGCCAGAAGCACCCAAGTCATTGAAGAGCGTGTATTCTTGTAACAAAAGGAAACTTGGATTCCCAGCTAACAGAAGTATTATTGCTCTGGGGTGGGGGTGGGGGTGAGTGAGTGAATGTCGCAGTCTCAAGCTGTTGAGATGGTCCTTTCTGTGATCTGTCAGTGGTACTTGCTAAGTTGATTGCAAAGATACTGTTGCTAAAAGAGTTGTGGAGCAGTACTGTGCATTGCAGAAGACTGACTTCCTTGTTGGGAGCTTTGAGAGTGGAGAGGAGTGCACAGGGCTTTCACGTTTGAGCTCCTCCCTTGTTGCAAGGGTTCCCGAGCATCAAACTGGAAGCTGAGGTGTAGGCAGGTGTGGAGAAAGCTTTCTGTGCAATACTGTCCTGGGAGCACTCTCTGACCTGTCCTTTTAGAAACAGTGAGCTTGGATGTGGGGCAAAACCCAGGAGCAGGGTTTTCCGAGGAGTTTCTGGGATTCAGTGGTGGGGAACTCCTAACTGCTTGTTAGTACATGTTATTCACTGCTTTTGATTCTGCTTTCTAGAGTCCTGCAAGGTGGTGGCGGTCCCCTTCTGATGGAAGAATGGTTGTGCTCAGGCAGTTTGGGCTGCTTCTCTGGAAGAATTATATCCTGCAGGTAAGCTGGCACTGTGCTTGCAGCAGAGGAACTGCCTATGTCATCATCCCTTAAAGGTGATCCCTTCAGAACTTTCCCAATGTCTAGATTTCCTAGTGAACATTTTCTGTAGGCCCAGGATGGATCTATTTGTGTGCATGGTATCTTTTGTGCTTTTGTGTCAGTGAGAGATAGACAGGGGTCTGTGCTCAATTACCTGGTGTCCCTGTCCCCTCAATTGCAATTGCACAATTTATCAGTTCTCCTCACTTTCAAAATAGGGCTGTGAGTTCAGTTTTCCGTTCTCAAGGAGCAGGATAATCCCTGCGCCCTCCTGTGCAACCATGGGTTTCCCTGAGCTATCTTATTCCATAGATTCTTTTACATCCTTCTCTGGAGGTGGTGATGCTGTGCAGCGCCTATAAACTTACCAGGATCCAAGTGCTTTTTCTCCATTACTTTTTGCATTCTTCAGAAGTAACTTTTATGGGTCTGTGGGCTGCCTTAAACCACCTTTGTCCTGGCATCTGCTCTTATTCCTGCTCTGCGCTTGGGAACTAGCGAGTTATGAAGTACTTAGGGACGTTAGGTCTAACTGGCAAGCCACGGGCTTCAAAATGGACATTTTTTTTGCGTCACAGTGCTGGCTTCCTTGGCTTGTTGACCTGCAGCATCTTACCTGCTGCTGAAATATGCTGCAGCTTCTTCAAGTAGCCGGCAATTGTCCCCTGGCAGATACTGCAGGTTCACAGTGGGAGCTAGCCCCTTGCAGAGGGCAGTGGAAGAGGGGAAGTAGACCTCAGTGCAGTCTGGCTTTACAGGTTCCATTACCATACTGCAGATCAGAACGTTACTGCTTAAAAATAAACAAATGAAAGAGGAGAGGGCTTGCTGGGTTACCTGCAGTCTGTGTTTCAAACACAGTACAAAACATGGAACAGACTGCAGAATTCAGCTTTAATCTAAGGGGACCAGGAACTGATCCAATTTGGAGCCCTTTGTCAGGAGCATGCTCCAAAGCCTAGAGTGTAGCATAAACAGGCCCTGTGAATTTCCCATGTGCGCCATAGATGCCATGTAGAACAACCTGCTTTCCTTTCTACAGTGGAATAAAACCTTCCTCTGAGTGTACCTTGAGGCAGGAGTACATCTCTTCAGCTTTGCATATTTTCTGAGGGCACAAGCTGACTCAGAGCTACCATGCCAGAATACACCCTGGAATGTTTGCTCCCCTCCTCAAAGTAACCATTAGAAAACAAGCTCCTGATAAAGAAGTAAAGCTTACAACTTTTTAGCAGGCTAATTTAAAAATGAATGCTCAGTGCAGGGGCTGGGGCATGTGTCACCCCAGTCTTCAATAAGGGCAAGAAGGAGAACCCAGGGAACTCCATCCCTGGAAAGCTGATGGAACGGCTCTTCTTGGAGGCCATCTCTAAGCATATGTAGAGGACAAGAAGGTGATCGGGAGTAGTCAGCGTGGATTCACCAAAGGGAAATCGTGCTTAACCAACCTGATTGCCATCTATGATGGAACGACTGGCTGAATAGATGAGGGGGGAGCAGTGGATGTTGTCCGCTTTGACTTCAGCCAGGCTTTGGACACTGTCTCCCATCACACCCTCATAGGCACGCTCAGGAAGCGTGGGTTGGATGAGTGGACAGTGAGGTGGATTGAGGACTGGCTGGATGGCCGAGCTCAGAGGGTTGTGGTCGGTGGCATAGAGTCTAGTTGGAGGCCCGTAGCTAGCGGTGTCCCCCAGGGGTCAGTCCTGGGTCCAGTCTTGTTCAATGTATTCATCGATGACCTGGAGGAAGGGACAGAGTGCACTCTCAGCAAGTTTGCTGAGGATACTAAACTGGGGGGAGTGGCTGACA